GACTGGGCTGTAACAGACCTCTAAATTCCTTCTCTGGGGACTTTAGTGTCTCCATCAAAATGCAAGCTGTGAAAGAGAGGGGATTAGTCTGTAGTGCAAGACCCAGGAGACTGGTTATGCTGGATGTGAATGTTAACAGAAGCTCTCCACACTCTTTGTTTTGTTTCCCTTTTTATGAGAACTGGGCAAACACCTGGTGGAAGGATTCAGTTAATGAATAGAGAAGAAGTAAGAGTCTCTCTAATTGGTTTGCAGGCCTCTGAACTGCCTGAGGAGAGACCTAGGGAGTGTAATTAAACTTTCTTCTCCTTGTAATCATTACAAAAATGCCCTGTGCATTTTTGTGATTTCACTAGGTAAACTTCTGCAGTGTGTTTTTGTTGGGCCCTGTGCCATCTCTTAGGGTGCAGATAAATAGGTTTTGATATAACATTTTAAGTCTGGTGCACAACTGAGACATGTGAGGGTTGTTTTTACCATTTGCATGTTATACCATGGCACTTGAAGGCATGACCCTTTATTCTGGTGTATGACATGGGATGCATCTCTGGCTGATATACTGGAGGTCAGACTGCTTTAGTGCTGTCAGCCTGCATCAGCTTGTAACTTAAATGAACACAGGTCAAGTGACATCATATGAATAACTCATGTGGCAAAATGATGCAAAATTCCACAGCTTCTCTCCTACAAGCTGCAGTCATTTATTAACAATTCAATCCAGATATTTTATTCAGATGCAACAATATGTTTTGTGAGCCAGGAAAGGGGAGACAACTCTGTTAGTTCTTTGCTGCAGAGTTTTTCTTACAAACCAAAAGTCTGTGTCTTTTCAAAGGATAATTCTCCAGGAGCAGCAATGAAATCCTTCAGAATATTCAGATAGTCCTTGCTGGGAAGGAAGTGCTGAAATCCACAAGCTGTGGGTGAGCTTGTAGAGGTCTGAATTTGTAGTATTATCCAAATTCAGCTTGGGTGATCAGTTTAAATGTTTTGATCAGTGCCATGGTCAAGCAGCTTCTTGTTCTGAGGAGAGCTGTTGTATCTGTGCAAAAGGGTGTTAAGCAAAACATCACCACCACCATTGGTAATGCAGTTGTCCATCCACCACCCTTTCCTGAGTGGAAGAAGGACCAGCAATACACTTTAGAACCTGGTTTATGAAAGCATCTTGTTTTTTTTTCAGAATATTCTTTATTTAGACTAATTAAATTTTGCTATTCAAATGTCTGTTTCTCACCATACAAAGTGCAAGATTTTACTATTAATCCAAAAAGCCTCTTCCACCTTCAGTCTCTGTGGGGCTTTGTTACTCTAGTGAGATGTCTGTTCCAGCAGCAGACAGAAAACCTATGCTAACACCTGGGAAATGATGGGCTGGGCCAAAGCCCCGGAACCCTGGGGATGTGAGTGTTGGCAGGTGCTGCAGGGAGCTTTGGTATCAGATGAAAACCTGTATCAGAAGGTATTTGCAAACAGAGGGAAAACACTGCATTTAAGGACCAGTGCAATGTATCATAATACTCTGTTGTCAGGACAGGGGCTGTATTGCTCTCGTGAGAGCACTAAGAAGGTCTTGAGTTGATTCAATGTACATGAATTAATGTGACCACTTAGCAGGGTTTGACACGTGAGCTACTTGTCTTCTCTGTGTTAATGGAGGCTTTTTTTTTTTTCCCAAGAGACAAAGGTTAACTATGTGACTGTTTTGGTACAGTGGGAATGCAACAACTTTTGCCTGTTTAATGCAGTAGTTAAGAAAACATCCCAGTCTGCTGTGCAGTTTGTTATAGAGGATGATGATAGCAATATATTCAGGTACACAATAATGGTGAGACATAGCCACAAGCAGCACTTTCTGCTAAATGAACAAGAAAATTGCCAAGTAAAAAGGTGGTTCCAGTTATTCCATGCTTTTCTAGTCATTCCATGCTTGCAAAAACAGCTACCTGGGCCATGTGTACATGAACAGCAGAAACAAAGCAAACTGGACTTCAGACTTCAGGAGTGGTGATGGTGGTGCTTCCTCTACTGCACAGCCAGCTGCTAGATGAAAAAGAATTAGTGATTATATAATCTGTATGTTGATTTATAGGGTCTCTAGTCTTCTGCAGTGCTGGGAGAGCTCTCTGTCATAGCCCTGTTACCCACAGGCTGCAGCTCACCGGCTTCTTCAAGTTCTCAGGGTGTTGCAGTCTTTGGATAATCTTATCTTGATTATTTCATTAGAAGAGGTTCTTGGGGAAAAGTGCTTTTTTAGAACTTGTCCTGCTATAAAGTGCATCCTCTTCCCCTTGTAACTCTTAGTGCCAAGCCAGAGGGACATTTGGACAAAGGTTGTCTGGATACTCAGGAAGTGCCATGAAAGATTAGACCATAGGAAAGAGGAGTGGGGAGAGGAGGGCATGTATGCAGTAAAAATATCATTGATGCAATAAAAATATCATTGATACAACAAAAAGGGGGTAATACTGGAGTGAATAAAGATTCAGAGGCAGCTCTCAGTCAAGGGTTTATTCCAATGCTTCCTTTGCAATTCAGAGATGGATACCATGCCTTCTCTGCTGGTCCATCGCCCCAGCAGATGTGGCGACTGCTGTTGCCCGGGACCAGCTCTGGGCACCAGAGTTCCAGGGGAGTTCTTGTGCTGAGTGCAGGGAGTAACCCCACCCCAGCAGAGCTGGGAGCCTGTGTCCCTCTGTGTGGTTTGCCTGGCTCTGGAGGAAACAGTGTGGCATCTCTTAACAAACGTTGACAAACCTCGTGCTCTGCAAATCCTTTTCCAGGCTTGCTTGTGATGCTCACAGTAGGAACACTCAGCTCTGCTGTGCTCTCACCAGCAAGAACTTGAACAGACTTTTCCCCCTGTCTAACTGCTCATTTGACAATTTATCTCAATGGTTTCCTGGCATCTTTGCTCAGTTCTCATGCCAAATCATCTACTACCTGCTCAAACCTGGCTTTTGACCCTGCTGCCCCAAATCCAGCATCTCAGAATGCCTGAGTGCTGGGTCCCAGGTGGGAATGTCAGTGCATCTCAGAATGCCTGAGTGCTGGGTCCCAGGTGGGAATGTCAGTGCATGCTATGGTGGGTCTGTGGCAGCCAAGCTGGTATCATTTTGCTTGGCATGGATGGAGATGTAGGGGGGCACAGCAGCCAGGGAGGACAGCTTGCTGTTTTCTGTTCTGCTTGCTTGGCTGAGATGGAGCAAGATGTTGCTGATATAAGCATCAACTGGTTTAAAAACTGAAGTCTAAATAAAAAATAATAATAATAAAAAAAAAGGAAATCCAGACAGTGCTCCCTGTTGTTACAGTTTTGAGATTTTTTCTTTAAAAGGTTTAAAGGGAAATTAAATTCTTGCACTTGCTTTTAATTAGCAGTTTCATTAAACTGTCTTTAGAAGTTGATACAACCTGGTATAGGGTTTGTCCTAGGATTTAGATATCACTGTCTCTGGTGTTTTGCTTGCAGGCTCTGTTACCTTATATTCCCACATATCAAGATGTGGAAAGTGATACTGAGCTCTCTTATAAATCACATTAAGCTCTAGCAAGGCACTATTGAAGCTCTCTATAAGAGCTTGCTGTTACTGTTTTATAACCTCAACTGTAAAAACAAAGGATCTGGGATGTTGCTGTTACTGGATTGGGTGACAGGATAATAGTTGCTCTCAAATTAGTTGCCTATTTACAGTGTTTTATCCTAAAAGGTTTCTACAAATGGAGTCTCCTGGAAACATCCAGCTCTGACAATTGTAAATAGGAAAATGACAAATCTATTAGCTTAGGGGCTTGAATATGATAGAGAAGTAGGAATTATTCCAGCCTTCCACATGATTCCAAATGCTTCCTCTTTTAGGCTGGGAATATCCACAGGAGAATTATTTCTGAAGGAATTTGAGTATCTGTTGCAATTTCTGGGTTTTACATGAAGTGTTACACACAACTGATGAATTATGATATAGATTCTAACAGATGTGATCATCTGGAATCAGGACAGTGTCCTTATTTTTGTAATTAAATTTTGTAGACCCTGTCACTGTAACGAGCTTAGTTTCTGTTTCTTCACTGTGTCTGTGCATGACACTGACCACTTGCTGCCTGTTCTCTGTAGTTTTGTCCTCTGAGAAATGTTTCAATGCAGCCAAGAATTTTTTTAATGAGAGAAAGGAAGTTCTAAGGACAGAGGAAGATCAGTAGTCATTCCCAAACTAATATGACTGTTGAAAGCATTGACAGAAACAGTTTTTGATCTAGTTGTCTGAGAAGTTTTCTTTTTCAGCGCTGAACATGTTAGTCTGACTTGTCTGTTCCTGGTTTAAGCAGTTTGTAGTCCATCCCATTATCTAATATTACTCCTTTAATGGCTTAATGCTTTATAGAAACCATAATTGATTTCTTCTTAAAACTTCATGTAGCTATTGCCAAACTTTTCAACAACTTGGAGAAATGTCTGTAAGGGTTTTTTATATTTTAGCCTTAAATCTGTGCCATTCATCTGAAGGACACTGTTAAATTTCTTCTTGCTGTAATCCTCTAGTTTTAAATTGTAAACCTTTCTCTAGGAATCCATAAATACAATGTGCCATGTTAAATCCAGAAATTTGGAGTCTGTAGGGAGAGATGCTGAGCTCCTCTGCCTTTGCAGTGAGCTCTAGGAGCCAACTCCCAGTGGTGGGATAGGGAAGCAGGGTGTGGGAGGATCTGAGACCTTCTTTCATCTGCTGCCTACTCCAGGAAGGTCAGGCCTTTCCTATTTGCTGGCTTCCCAAATCCTCAGAATGAAATGTTGGGCAAATTGCCCCTTTTCTATCACAGACATGCTGCCAAGGGAAAGTTTGGAGTAAGAACTGGGAGACGGTTTGCCTTGCTGCTTGTAGTAGCTGTGGTGCTGTCCCAGCAGCTTAGGGGGGTTTGCATCAGCTGTCCAGGACAGTTGATTGTCAGTTTTCATAATGTGGAGTACAAATTTAGATGAGAAGATGAAGAGATTGGTCTGGACCTGATGTTTTATGTAGGGAGAGTGTATAAAGCCAGAGATGAGTGTACGTGACTTTGTGTAAATCCTGATCATCTCACACGGGCAGCTTCAGGTGATGATGTTCAAGGACTGGTGAAAATAGGGAAGCACACACCTGTCTTCAGGATGCTACAGTGACTGTAAAAAAAAAAAAACAACACCAAAAAATAAAACCAAAAAATACCTCAACAAAAAACAAAACAAAAAAGAAAAACGAAAAAACCAAAACAGAAAAAAAAAACAACCAAACAACCAAATCCCCAAACAAACAAAAAACCAAAAAAACCCCAAACAAAACCTGAAAATACTGATGCAGAGAGATATTGGAACTCTGCATGCCTAAAAGTTGCCTGACTGAGCACAGAGATGTAACACCCCAGTCCTGAGGAACACGATGTTATGAGCCCCTGCTCGAGCAGGGGTGTTGGACTGGATGATCTTCAGTGGTCCCTTCTGACCTTAACCATTCTGGGAGTTTTATGCCCTATTTCAATCCTTCTGTTTTTAAAGCCACTGGTAGGAAGCTCTGTGTATGCTCACAAAAGGTTTATCTTATCCCAGAATCCATAAATGTGTTACTAGTTTAGGTTAATATTTTGCTGGGCATAATGAAAGGAGATGGCCAGAATGTGCTTGGATAAACTGAGCAAGTAATGAAAATATATGGAACATGCACGAGGATTATTTGACAAATAATTAAGAAGCTAAACATGAACCAAGTAAAAGAACTCTGTAACAAAGAGAATTCCTTACCAGCCAGTCCATTAGAGACCTTATAAATAGGAAAATAAAATTCCTGTCCTTTGTGGAAGCAGGTGGGAGGAGCAGCTTGGGAATTCTGAAATACAAAATCAGGGAGAAGAATTCTGGGATTTTAGATCTGTCCTAATGAGATAAGTGAAGTGTTTAGGGAATGCTGGACCATGTTCTTTCTTTGCATGAGTCACTAGCTCCATCTATGCTGGTGGAGCTATTTATGTGATGTAATGAAAAATGAACAGTTCATGGTATTTGGAACATTTTTGATTAAAGCTGCACTAGGAATTTAGTAGGGACTGTGAGGTTGTAAGACCAATGCAGTTGAGCCTGAATTTTTTATTAAAAAAAAATAAATTCTAGGTGAAGAAATTTGGCAAACTTTTATAATATGCTCTTGTTGAAAGACAGAGGTTGAAAGCTGTCTCTGCTGCTTTCTCTTCTTCTATTTTAGTCTTCTGTTTTCTGAGAGAATAAGCCTGGGTTTTGCCCTTTTTTCTTTCCTTGCTTACTCTTTTGATGCTGCTATTTTCAACCTACCCTGCTATATGCAGGTCACCTGGTTGTAGAGTGAAAAAAGGCTTCTTTAGCATGAAAATGAAATTTTAATTTCTACTGTAAAATGCAAGTGTTGTTCTTGTACTGCATCCAATCCCAACACAAGTGAAAACACCATCACTATGAATGACAGGAACTTCTTCAATTTGCCCAGCTATTGAATATAATTAAAGGAAACTCCCTCCTTACTCCCCAAGAATTACAGAATTGAGGTATATGAGGTGGTCACGTAGCAATTTAAAATTAAGATACTTTAACATCTTTTAAGAGCTCAGCAATGCCATGAAATGTGATTTTTTTCAGAACCAGCAGCAAAACATTGAGCACCTTCCACAGCAGGGACTGACAGTCCATGTCAGACCTTGCTCTGTGACTGTTTCTGACTCTCAGCAATGAGATCACTCAGGACACACACAGTGGGAGTTAATTTGGTGTACAGCTCCTAAAAAGACTAACTGAATTGCTAATAGTCTCCCTGTTGTCTCCAGTGCAGTGGGAATAATATTCTGTGCATGATGGTTATATTGGCACTGGGTAGTTATGCAAGATTTGAGGTTACACTGAACCAAACCAACTGTGAAGTTTTTATTTAGCTGCAGTCTCATAAATCATCAACCACTGTAAACTAAGTTCTATTTATTATTTTAAAAAAGTTTCAAAAGGAAAAACTTGTCATGTATTAACTTTGAAATAATTGAAAATACTAGAGATTGTTTGTTTGGAAAGGCTCTTCAGCTCATTTAATTAAAGCTCACCTTTCCCATGGAAGAGGAATTTGTTAGAGCAAGCTTGCTTTAGCTAAGAATAACTCCTTGGTTATACCACTTATGACTTTTGAAGTGGCACAACTTGGACTTTTTAATGGTCTGGACAATAAATTTGTATATACATGCACAGAACTTCCCAGGATTAGGCTTTTTAATAATCGCTTACAGCTGAAGTAGTTGCCTGGCTCCTCTGCTGCTCTATGGGGTGATTTGAATTGAAATGTTTTGTCCAAGTGCTTGCAAAATGTGACAGATTTCACAGCTCACAGGTCAGGAGCAGCAATGTTCCAGCTACGGGTAAGTCCCAGGGATGCCAATTTGAAGCTCCATGAAAATGAAGCAGAGCTGGACTAAATGAATGCTGAGTGGCCTATAGGCTGAAGGAAAATACAGGATATTTGGGGTGCGAGTCCAAATCATACAGCCACACGTTGTGCTTTACTGTAGCCCATGCAAAGACAAGTTTGAGAGATTTGTTATGCAAATAAAATGTCATTAAGTGTTGGCACTTCAAAGGCCTGTGCAGGCATTTGCCATATAATTGCCTGAAGAAACAGGCTGTTTTGGATGTTGAGCCTTTATTTGCATTTGGAGGATTAACAGACTGTTTATTTTACTACCCTTAGCCTTTAAGTGCACTTAAGCTGTTTTTCCAACAGAGCTGAATTTATTCAATTCTAACTTCTTGATTGACAGAGAGAGAGGAGCACATCAACAAAATGTGCAGGACCTTGCTGCAAACAGCTCGTTTCATTTGTGACCTTGTAACGTGTAATGGGAACCAGTGGATTTGAATTAAAAAAAAAGTAAAATACAGATTATTACTAACATTACAGGTATCCCAAGGAAAAAATGTACACAGATGAGGATAAAGATTAGAGCTGACAGAATAACATTTTTTCCCCTGTTAACTTTATCATGTCTTAAAAATATTCAGTGCATATAATTTATTTTCATTCCCGTTATCTTTCCAGCTTAGGTGACATGCTCAACTTCCAGAGAAGTTAATGGAAATCTCAGTGTTGACTTCAGAGGACCTTTAGATCAGGCTCTAAATGACAAAGAATGAGCCCCAAATATTATGCATATTTATGAATTGAATGAAAATTTGCTAATGAAATGTTCACACACGCTTCATTCCGGGCTGGCTGTTCATTCCTCTCAAGAAGCCCATAAGGGCCTTTCTTTTAGCTTTCTGTTAAACGCTGACCAAAAAGTCAATGAGATTTCACTGGAATGAGGCATTTGGGATTTGGTCAGTATTCATGTACACAAATCTTTAATATTTGTTGCTAAGGATTGCTGCTTACATGATCAACAGGCACTTTATGCATGGAAGAAAGATGTATAACTTCCAGCCTGATCACAGCCAAGCTCTCCATTTCTGATGCCATAAACCCTGACCAGCCGTGACTTTGTTCCTCAACAGGAACTCCAGGATGTCCTTATTGCTTCCAACCTGCCAATTTTCCCCACTTGAATGAAAAGGAGACACTTGACTCTGTCAGTTTAACAACAGATTGGCTTATTTACACTAATGCAAAGCTCTTGCCTATGAGGATGAAGCACGAGGCAGCTGGTAGGAAATGCTAAATCCTTGCTCTCTAGGAGGCCAGATCTTCCAGGCTGAGCAGCTGCTGTCAGGGGATATCAATCATTGTGCCAAAATACCTTGACAGTGCCCCCTTGACTGTCTTTTGCAGAAGCAAAAAATTGGATTAGATATGACAAATGGATCTTTGCTATGGAAAGACCAGTGTCCCTTAGCCTGTGCAAGTACAGTTCTTTTGTCTGTATGATACATAGTCTGACAATGGATTATGAATTTTCCCCCTTCACCTAATATAGAAACAAATGGGCTTTTCCCCCTCTTGTCCTTCTAGAGTTACTCACTGAATATTTAATCAAACTACTTTATATTTGCATCTTTCCACTCTTCTGACTTTGAGACTGTTTTGAACTGTCCCTTGGCATCAGCACTTGATTCCACCCTTCTCTCTGGTTTTACAGCCAACACTGCAAAAATGAATGTATATGTATTTCAGATATAGGATGCCTTATACAGGAGAGGAAGCATTTTCACACACTGCCTAATTGGGGCTGACTGGGATGGAGAAGGTCGGTTCTCGACCTTGCTATTGCCTGAGGTAGATTATGTCTAAATTATCAGTACCTGGCTGTGGAATTCTCTATTGCATTGGCAAATTACTTTTAAAAATAGAGATAAGCAATTGCTCTCAGCCACTGAGCTTAGTTCCCTCTGTGCACACACTTCATCACATCTGGACCACATACTGATGCTCTGCTAATTTGGGCCCTCTTTAAAAGACAGGAAACATGATCTGTGCAATTTTGCTGAGGATTTGACTGCTGAGGTGAGGTTAAGAGGCAGAGCCACTTTGGCTTCATAGCAGGGCATTCACCTGAGAGATGGTGGCTATTAATTCTTTTCAGGATGAATTTTCATTATATTAACTTAGTTAATTGGTTGTACGTGGTTCTTTGTCCTAGAGACTTCTCTCTGCCAATCTTCAACTAAATGCTTTCTTGCTAAAATTTGCACTGTTCCTTACTACTGACCTGAAGGAAAAGCCTCTTGGATTAGGCTTGTGAGACCGAATGGTTCTGTTTGAACAGCTCTTATTGAAACATGGCCAAAATTGTTCCATTCATAACCTTTTCTGCTGTTCCTTGCATGTGAATATTGGTGATATTATTAACTTGTAGTTTTGTGCTTTCATCGTATGGACTGGTAGGGCAGAGACTTCTCTGATTGCTATAATTAAATAGGTTCCAGATAGGTGAAGCAGCTGCTCGTTTATGCATAAATCTGCACTTTCACCAGTCATTAAGTGTGCAATTAAGAACATGCTTTTGGGGAGGCTGGTGATGCATCGATACTTGAGCCTTTGGTACACTCTGAACACCTCAGACTAGATATCTATTGCCTGACAGCAGTGGATGTTTTGTTTGAACATAAGCTGAAGGTGTTGCAAGTGGAACAGATTTGAGAAATGCAAAAAGTAACCGTAGCTCTCAAACAAGCCTTTTATTATCCTGTGGTCAAGGAAGAAAAAGCTCATGAGAAGAGAGGTTTTATAGCCTGATATCTTCCCATGTGCTGTTGCACTGGGCAGGTTCCCCCAACACTGACAGCAAGTTGAGGGGGGTCTGGGCCCAGGCAGATGTGTGCTGTAGGAATGGTGTTTTATGCATGCAGAATAGTGGCCCTTCAGTGGGTACAGTCTGCTGGAAATCCCACTGCAATCCTGCACAAAAATGTCAGAGGGAATGTGCCAAAAAGGGTAAACCTAAAGCCATTCCTACTTTAGTTAGAGAACAGTCAATGCATTGAAATTTTTCTTTCTAGCCTTTGAAATGAACTTTGGGTAGGTTTCTCTTCCAACCATGAGCATCTCACATGAACTGAACTGCCAGAGTCCAGGAACAACAGCAACAGAGTCTAACTGGGATCCACCTCTCTCTGGAAGGTGATAGAGCATCCTGATTGCCCTTCCCAGGGACTGAATGCCATTACTTTCATATTTCCAGCCATCTAGGAATGACTCTTGATCTGGCCACTGTCACACCTCTGCTCTGGTTTGGGCTCGTTATTAAGGTGGATTTTCAGCAGTTATCAAACCATGACCAACAGCACATAGAGTGAAGTTACACTTTGGTGACCTGCTGAATCTCTTACCAACAGAGGCAGGGTCATGCTCAGAAGGTTATCCCTGCCACTTCAACAGGCAAAGGGGGACACCAGGGCATATTTTGTGAAATGATTAGTGCGAACAGCACCATATGACTTATGGCAATGTCTACATTATCCTGCTCAAAAATTACCTTCCGCTGATGTAGAAGGACAGTATTTCCCCATGTAGTTTATAGCTCTCATAAACAACTTCTACCAGCATTGCTGCTGTGTCCTGTCTCTCACCTTCTCCTCCTGCCTCTTTGTAACAGGTGATGTAAAATTCCTGTAAGGCTTCAGTGTGGACTAAGTTACAAAATCCCAGGGCACTGCAGTGAAAGTATCAATCTTCTGCTGACTCATCAGTGATGACAGATCCTGGAGTTTTACAGACACACAGGGTCACTTTTGCTGACTTATTAATTCTAATTTAGCTGAGTTTTATTTGTTCTGGTCACTGTTATTCCAGGTGCTAATATTTCTTGGATGTGAAGGGAAATAAGAGCAAGAGCAGCCCTCCAGGCTTAGACTTATTAAAAATAGCAAAGGTGAACTTCAGAGAAATGTCTTTTTGATTTGGCTGTGCCTGTACTCAGTTTAGAGCAGTCAGGATTTCACATGCTTGTGGTACTCAGTAATTTAAAATGTAATGCAGTGTGTGAATGCATTGTAGTGCTTTTGAAAATCAAAACATACACCAACAGTCCTTTCTTTTTGGAGTATGAATAGATTGGAAATGTTCAGATGCCTCTTGAAAAAGATACTGTAGTGACTTTTTTTCTCTTTGGCTACATCTTCATTGGTACTCATGTTTGCAGTTACACAGCTTATTTCAAAGCTTGTCAGACAGCTGAGTCGAAAAAAGTAGCTGAGATGATCTGTGTTGACATGAAATTTCTGTTTGCACCCCTTTTGTTGTCATTATCTGCTTTTGTTCAGCAGATGTATTTGGAGTTGAGACAGACTTTGAGTTTTCTCACTGGCGTGTCTGTCTCAAGTTTTCCTTCTGCTCTTCACTTTTTATGGCCTCTTTGCCTCCCAGAGCCAGGGGATGACTTGTGCTGGTGCTGTGGGAGTTGCAATGTGTAAATTCCAGTAGTGCTAATGGCCTTTACTGCTGTGAATTGGAAAAGTTGGGTACTGTGGACAACAAACCTCTCTTCTTTCTATGAGAAGGCACAGTGGCACCATTGCATAACTACATGGCATAGTCCTAAAATGGTTTTCTGCAGGGTTTTGCTCCATGTCTTTTTTTTTTTCCCTCGGAAAATACCATGTCTTTACATTGTCCTTTTATTTTAGTACTCTGCAAAGCCCACAAAAAAAGCAAATCACTGTCACCAAATGGTGACTGCATCTCAGAAGATGAACAAAGGACTGTCATACTTTTTTCCTGTTTCAGGATACGTTCTGGGATAATTAAATAAGCCTCTCTGGCTCTTCTGGCAATGAAAACAAGTGTATTGATATTTTTTCCCCTTCCCAAACTCTTCCATTACCTGCTGAATGCACATCCTTCTCTGCTCCAGGGTTGTCTACATCCATTTTTTGAAGACAACTGCAAAGTGGCATTGAAACTCGAGAGCAGTAGAACACGGGTGAATTAGGGTTCACCAGGGCATATTGAAATCAGAAAATGTTCCTCAGATGGTTCAGACTGGCCATCTGAAATTAAAGGATCTGTATTGTAAGAAATTAGAAGTAATAATTAGAATGGACAGTTAAAAAAAAAAAAGCTTGTTCTTGACTGACCACTAGAGATTCAAAGAAAGATTCCAACTTGGAAAGATCAGAGATAATTTGGCAACTAAAATATTTGTGTGGAGAATGGGATAGATTATTTTAAATTGCATTCTGACTGCAACTTCTGCTGTATTACCTGAATTTGTCTTGTTAAATTTCTGTAGGTGTTCATCCTATACAATCTTGTTGCATCATCCATGCTTGATATAGCAATAAACAGAGCTAGCAGCACAACATCTTTTGTAAAACCATAAATATTTTTATCTGCCTGGGAATGGGAACACAGTTACAACTAAGACAGCAATGAATATTTTATTTACTCGACAGAAGTGATGTCAGGCTTAAATGGAATCCTAATCTTCAATTTCTGTGTTCATGACACATTTAACCTAAAGTTTTAAATAAAACGAGCATATTTTAAGTTCCTCTCATAATTACTGGCGGTGGGAAGTGTAACTTCTCACAGGATTCAGCAAAGAGCGCTCGATCGTGAATTGCAAAGCTCAGGTTGAAGTACTTGTAACACGGGTTTTCATGGGAAATAATTGTCTTGCGTAAATGTTTGAGAATTTAATGGGTTTGCTTTGGTGCTCTGTTATGACCTCAAGCTCTTTTAAAGTTTTTTTGGTTTTGTTTTTTTTTCTTAAGCAATCAATAGCCAGTGGGAAAAGAATACTCAGAGCTTTAACTGAGCTGCTCTAAACTTTGAGCTGTTGGCTGCCTGGGAGGTGCCTGTCTGTACCTACATAAGATGTAGAGCTAAGGAATGTTTTTCTGACAAAACCTTAATCATATCAGCACATTCCTACAAAAGGGTTGCATTTTAACAGCTGTAGATCATTCAAAAGGAAATTAAAACCTACTAGCAATCCTAATTGCCTGTTAGATGACAGAAGTGAAGGGTTGCTTAGATGAATATGGCACAGATGGAGGATCCCCATGACCTTCCCTGTGGATTCATTCAAACCATGTAGTCCAAAACATGCCTTCCCTGAATTTAGATATCATAGAAAAATGCTAATGTTGCTTGGCCAGCTGAGGAATTGGACCAGACTTGAGCCAAACTTGGTCCATCATTTTTCATGTTGGGAGCCAATCACTCCCTGTCAGTAGGAACACTACTATGCTTTTATTCCAAAAACCTTGCTAATTTTGACTTGTAGAAGGATTTAAATGCAAGAGAAGTTTGATGCTTGTACCCCAGTAGGTATTGGGGCTGCATGTTCTCTTCAGATCTTAGTGTTTTCCTAAATGTGAATGCATGAAAATATTATGCCAGCAAAGGACAGAATGGAACACTATAATGTCATGGGAATGGATTAAAACTGAACATAAAATGTATTCCTATTCTCAGTGTCCAGTTAATATCAGTGTGATGGCATCAGCACATAATACCTGCTGTTGATTCAACTTCAATTTTATCTTACTGTTCTTCCTTGAAGAGAGGAACAGAGTGACTGCCTGGAGAGAAAATCAAGTAGAGAACATGTTTGAATAGTTCAGCTTTTGTCTTTTTTTGAATATCAGTTTCAAATGGAAACAATAGCTCCAGGAGTGGTTCAACCATTACAAAATCTTACTCCTGATTCAAAGGACAGGGAAATTAATATTGTGTTAAAATTGGTTTTGCTGAAGCTTTCACGTTGTTCAATAAGAAACTGTTGAAGTGGAATTTGTGTCCAGGTGATCCATGACATTTTACTGTTGTGAAGCTTCAGGTCATGGCTGAGAGTGCACAACGAGAATTCTATTTCTAGAAAAGGACTTGTTCAGTGTTTTTTTATTTGTTTTGTACTTTTGTCATATGGCTGCTTGATCTGGTTTGCTGCCATGGCCATTATGTGGGAGAGAAATCTGTGAATAGTTCTTTTTTTCCTGTGACTGCAGCAGAGTGTCCAGAAGAGTAAGGGAAAACTCATTAAAAATTCAAGAGTCCCTCTTCATGTTTACCATTCCAAAGTTACAGGTTGTATTTTTGGCATAGATTGTATCTCACTTAAAATAACACAAACAATAAATAATGTAGCATCAGTGAGGAACAATCTTAAATGAGAAACTTTCTTTGTTTCCTGATTTATACTTTATGAAACGTTGATTAATGTGGCTTTGTAACATCTAAGCAAATTCTCTGCATTTTATAGAAGGGTGAGAGTGGCTGTGGAGACCCAAACAATTAATTTTCTTCACCAGGAGTTACTCTCATTGCCCTTCAAGCCTGGCACATCCAAAGGCACAATGCCCCTCACAGATCCGCGAAGAATCTCCTTGCTTTGCAGGGAGGAAATCCTCCCAGTTAATGCTGTATGTGATTTGAATGAACCGAGGGGTGATGGTATCCTCTGCATGTCTCATGAAAGAGTGACCTTCATCTGCTCCTTTCTATGGATCCGTGGAGGAATCATAATCTTAACGCTTCCTTTGATCTCCGGAATGTTTGCCTGTGGGAATAGAGCAGCCGATCGCTGCCCTGTGATAGAATCTGTTCTATGTGCCAGCGCTTTCAAAGGCTTTTTTGTCAGCTCTCGTGTAATAAGATGGTTATGAACATCTCAGAACACGAGTGAGAGGCAGTGAAAGGGGAGAAAAAGGAATATTAGGCTCTATGCAGTTTGTAATTAAAATCCTAGAGAGCGATAGCCGTGGAGTGGGTTAAAGAAACAGATCATAAAAGCAAGCAAACAAAAAAACTCCACTTGATCCTGGAAAGCACAAAGCCAGGCTGTGTCATCTGCAAGGCTTCCTATTTCAAGTCACCTTATCACAGAGACAGCTTTCAGTCTAACAGAAAGCCCAAAGGAATTCTTTCCCCGTTCTGAGGGAGAGACAAGCCTTCCACGCAGATGCTTGGCACGTTTGAGCTCTGTCCCACGCTGAGCACTTCTACAGTTTTATACCTCGCTGCTGTTTTATGATACTTCCAGGGGATTAACTTGACAGGGTGAAAACCAGCAAGATGTATATTTGAATAGAGATTAAAAATACAACACAGAGCATTCTATTCTCCTGTCAACAATTTCAAGGTGAAAAGACCAACAACATATCAAGTAATAAAAACCACTTTGCGGAGGTTAGCATAATGTAACAAAAAAAAGGGAGGGGAGAGAATGAGGAAAAGATTGAAACATCTTTGGTATGCTTCAAGCATTGGAGCTCTTAGCTGTGGTCTGAAGATCAATAAGGCAGAACATTCCTTTCATTAGATATTAATACTGTGTGAGCAGAAAGCATAGTAACTACTGGGATCATGTGGCTGCTGCTTGTACGTGCTTTTCCACTTTGTCGAGATGAGTTGAGTTAAAATTTCACTTTGTCAGGTGTGAATAGTTAAAACTTTCAAGTCAATGATAAGACTTACGAAGCTTTTCTCATACCACCTGAGAAAAGAATAGAGAGTCTAGTTGCAACTTTCTTTTGTCCAAGCCAGCAGCTGAAACCCTTTCTAATGTGGACTTGTGAGGGACTGACAGGGAGGTGTCAGAGATGTGGATGTGAAGGAGTTTGACAGCAATTGCATGGAGACAAACTTCCAAAACTAAATGACCCGGAGAATTCCAGATTTTCATCTTGATGTTAAGTTGCTCTCTTGTTTAGATTTTTGGCTTTTTTTATAGACATTGAACCTTCATTTAAAGAACTCAAGGTCTGAGGTAGAATCACATCTGCCCACACTCACCAGCTGACTGAGGATGCTTGGAAATTCACTGGGATCTGTCTTCCTTCAGAATTATGTTGTGCTGCAAGTTAGAAGTAGATTAGAGCATGGTATGAAATTTGTATGCTCCTCTCCTTTTCAGATGTGTCTCTTCTGTGAGGTGAAGCTTTACACCCCCTATTATCCATTACCAACAACAAAGCCAATCAAGATACCTATTTTCAGTAGAAATGAGAAACCTGACTTTTAAAAGAAAATACAAATTCATGCTTTAATGCAGATATTAAAAAGTAGTTCAGTAATAATACACCAAAAAGAATATTACCTGTGGGGCTACTGAAATCTAACACTGTAAAGATGTTTTTCTTTAGTCTCTTAATGGCAGTTAACACTGCTGTGCTGGTGAAGGGGGTCACATCTGAAACTTAAATGTTGCAGTTTCATACCGTTAATCAGAGTTCTTTGAATTGCATTCAAGACCTTGTCTACATCTGTCTGCAGCACTGCTTCTGTTACAAAAGCTCTTAAAAGGAGAGTTCAATCATTATAAGTTAAATCATTATAAGTTAAAAGTCTGACATTCTCTTGCAAATTTGTATTAAAATGATTCTGTGTATGAAAAGAATTCATGGGCTTGACAGGTGCATTAAAGCTAAAACTTGTTTTCTAAGGTTACACAGCAAAAAAAAAAAAAAAATCACATTGTTCCTCATGTTAGAGCTATGGAACTAAGAGTTCATCACATGGTTTAGTACGTTGGTTTCTTTACTGAGGTTGATTTGAAGCCACACTGTTGCATGGATATTTTAAAGCAATAATAAAACTCATGACCAAAGAATGAGAATTTCAATACAGCATTTAATGATAAACTTGAACAAAAGCCTGAGGGTGACATTGCACTAAACATGTGTTACTGGTCTTCCTGTGCAACTGTGTAAGCCCATAACAAAGCTCCTCACTGTTTCTGCCGCAGCAGTTGGGCTGATAATAAATACAAGAGGTAGGTTAATGTGGAATGACCTCTTAAATGGCATCCTTTAATATGCTGTTCCTTAATTTGTTGTAGGCTACGCCAAAGCCCTTCCATTCAAAGCTGGGATAATGCAGTGTTGCATGAGCAGCTGATCACTTCTCCAGCACAGGCAGTTATAACTCTTTTATGTCGTTTCCCCGTCTCTGCTGAACCCATCTTCTCGTGTTGCGAGTCATTCAAGGACTGATTAATTCATGTTTGCAATGCACTTGAAAGATTATCAAAGGGAAAGTGTGACAGAAGAAACAATTTTATTTTTACTCTAGAACGCTGGCAGAGCTTCCAAGCTATCGCTGTGCTGAGGCTTTGGTGCTGTTTGTTTTAAGCACAACACCTCAGATGTCAGCCCGGGTGCGTGCACCGAGTGCCCGCCCACTGCTTTCACACAGCTCTTCCCCTGCAAATGAGACTCATCTGTGCTCCCCTGCGGGAACAGGGACAGCAACAAACCCCTCCCCACAATGCTGATTTGAGGTGTGTTTTTTTTTTTTTTTTTTTTTTTTTTTTTTTTTTACTGCTGCAAACAGCTAAGAAGTTCAATCAACATTTTTATTTTAGTCGTGGCCTCAAGGAGTTTTCGGAGGAGAACGAACTGTTGCAGTTGGTGACCTCCGTGGTGCGTCCACAGATCTGAAATGGTGATTTCTGAATCAGTCTTGTGATTGAAACACAGCTTATCTTTAAATCAATATTCAATGTCTTACTAAAGACTGCACTGATGGTCTAGCCACTCTATATCTTGGAAAGCTGGAGAGCAAGTCACTTAAGCTGTGATCCTATTTCCAGTCAGGCATTTCTAGCTTGAAATTCTAGCCTGTAGATCTTGTTAAGATTACAGATTAGGGGCTTGCACCCAAGCAGAGTAGAATTCAGGGGAGTATTTCTATTGAGTTTGACAAGCATAAAATCAGACCTGCTCAGAACACGAGAAATCACACTTGTAAATCTTTTGTAGATCACTATCAATCATTCCTTATTTCTTGTGAATGTCTCCTCATTATTTCCATTGTCAAAACTTGGGTTGTATCTTGACAAAACACGTCATTTCATTAAAACTATGTCATCCTTCTAGTTCAGATAGTGAAAATAAAACCAGAGGGAGCTGAACGTTTTGCTACATTCAGTATGTGGTGTCAGGATGAAAGATCCCTGTAAACTCTTGTTTTTTGAATGTTGCACTTCTGTTTGTAAGCACAGTAAATGATAGATCTCAACACTTCACACTTGTGGGATAAAAGATGAGTGTGTTCTGAAGAACATTTTATCTTAAAACCCAAAAGCTGTAGATGATCTGTAAGTGCCACTAGTGCCTTTGAAAGCCACTATTGTACTGATTATATCTAAAGAAAATTCTCGTTACTCTCCAGTGCCATCTGTTACCTTTCTGAAGCTGTCATGTGAAAGTGTGTAAGTACACCAGGCAGACTTGTGGCAGGTTCTGCTTTTTAGGTGCAAGTGAATGCAACAAATTCATAAATGTTGATGTATCAGCTAGGAAGTGACTGCTGTCAGGATGTGCTGAGCAGATACACATCTCCAGCCCTTGGGAGGCACAGTCTGAAGTGTTCCCACACATCTGTGATTACTCTGAGTGTGTTAAGCCAAAATTTGCATCTAGAAATAACAGGAATTGCCAATGTTATGGACCAATATCCTCTTTTGTTGTCCTTCTTCACCTCTCACATTCAGACCTGCTCTTTCATATTCAGGCCTGCTCTTTCATTACTAAATAATTTTCCACTCCCTCCCTATCTCTTGAAAGATCAGCAGATCAAAACTGACAAAAATGGAGCAGAAGCCTTGCCTTTGGGAGGGTTTCTTATTGTTTTGTCCCTCCTTGCTTTCTCTCAATTCCTGGATGTTTCCTATCCAACATCAGCTACTTTTGTGATCTCCAAAGTTCTCTGTTTTATCAGATCATGAAATAAAACCGGTGGGTAAAATTGATTTCAATACATGATAGTGCCACGCTGGTGGTCATGTGACACACTAAGTTGTTATTTTAACCCTTGATAATTCAATTCCATGCATGGCTCTGTCCAGTCAACCTGTACGAGCAAGGGCAATGTTAAAATCTGAGTCAAAAATCAGAAAATGCATGTCTGGCAGCATTGTGGAGCTCCTCTGATGGACAGGGTTAACTTTTAAAATACTACTGCTGTCCTTAACACTTGTATTTAGTGCAGTTTAGAAATAGAAACTGTGTTGTTCCCTGTAAGTGCCCAAAAGTCCTGCAGAGGCAGCTCATGCTGAAGGAAGGTGATTGCTTTGCTGGAGTGGCACTTACACGTTCAGTAGGACAACAATGACAAACTTCACACTGGCTTGGAGTGCTCGAATGAGAATACAGAATTATACGTTAGTTCCACAGTGTTATCCAGCTCTGTAAACCTTTCTGAGAGCAAAAGCAGTCAGTCCCCTCATTTCCAGGATAGAATCTGGTTAAAATCTCAGTTTCTCTGTTGTATGAATTGTTTTAGGTGACTTTCAGCCTGGCTTGGAATGAACATAAATCCATCTATTAATATGTATCTTAGAATACTTCTGTGAAATTTTTAAGTTTTGTGAAATGTTTCTACTGGTGTTATAGTGAACTTTTTAGTTCTGTCTTTTCATTCATTGTTGAAAATTAATGCACTGAGGCACTGAAGTGATGAGACACTCATGAATTGATGCAGAAATGAATAAAAAAGTAAAAAGGAGGATTCCTTCCCAAATCTTTTTTGACAGAGTTCTTTAACAGTTTTTTGTGTACGTTTTCTCACTGATACTTTCTTAAAACACTGAAAAATGTGTGTTTTCTTAAAATCAGGACGTCATCTACAACAATGATGAAGCCAGTGACTTCAGTCACTGTTTGGCTCAGAGTAGAAGACACCCAAGACCTTTATGAAAGGTTAAAATATTTGAATTAGCTACCACATTTCCAGCTTTCTGATTCAATGAAGAGAAAAAGTCATTTTCTTCTTGAAAAATGGCTTTCAAAAGACGAAACACTGACAGGCCCTACTCACTGTGGCTCATAATTTGTGCTGCTTTGGAGGGATAAGTAGGTTTTCTTTGGAGAGTGTGTGGCCTGGCAGACTCCAGGGTGACTCCAATCCTTAGGGATACCTGTGGTGAGAACATTGCCAAGGGTTTGGCTGTGGCTTTCCTGACCCACTGGAATGAGGGAGAGAAGGATTCATCCAGCTGCTCTGCTGGGGCTCTAAGAGCTGCTCCAAGGGGGGTTTTCTCTCTGGTGCTTGGGTGATGTTATGAGAAATAAAAATGTTTTTTTATAGGCATATTGTGAAGTTGTAAGATATTCAAGTCCCAAACTGGGACTGGGTATCAGGGACTTTTTCAGCCAGATAAGGGAAATATAAAAGTTCCTAGAAACTAGAATTTTTTGGGGCCATGTGAGAATTTTTGTACACAAGGGTTTCTTCTTTCTCTGGGCTAAGAAAAAGGAAGATGCATCATTTTTGACAGAGGATACCCAGCAGCCAATTGAAAGAAAGGGAAAGCCCCTTTTCAGAGAAAAGAAACCTTTTTAGGCAAAAATGAATACATTAAACTTATCTGAAAAGGGTGAGGATTTTGTGAAACTAATTTAAACTGAAAGTGTCTTTTTCCTCGGAAACTTGGTGCGAGAAAGACCCAACGTGCTGAATAAATTCTTCCTTGTTTCTTTGCTCCCCGAGTTTATGCCGTCTTTCTAAATTTAAAAAGAGGGATATTTCCCACAGTGTTAATGCTGGATCAAGCTCTGGTTTAGTTTGTGGAGTTGCCATGGGCTGAGCACTTCATTGTGACAATTTAGGGTGTGCAGAAACTCCCCAAACCTGGAAGGTTGTTTGGTAGTTTGCTGCACTAATTCCTGCTGATCTCTTGCAGCGGGCTGAGCCAAACAGATTCTCTGAAATTTCAAATCTGTATTTGTACTTTATGCTCACCTTGTTAAAAACACGAGTTAGAAGTGATCGTGCTCTCCTTCGTTGCTTGTTAATAACCCCAGATACCTCTGTGTCTTAAGCTTAATTCTCTCACTTCAAATATGCAGCCCTGTTTAACCTCAGCCCCGCTCGCAGTCGGTGTCGGGTTCACAGCCGGTGTGTGTTGCTGTAGCTCTCTGCTGATACTGGAGCTGTGTTTGTTCCCAACAGCCTCTCGTTCCACCTCACAGTTTACAATATTGCAGAACAGAGTTGAAACCAAAGCAAAAAGGAAGCAACTTTTAACAGGCGTCCTTCTAGGTAGCTCTTTCAAAGTAGATTTTTAAGAAGGTAAAACATCCGAGGGGAAGGTGTGGAAGGCTCTTGGGCTTAAGGAGACATACACGGAGAGGAAGGGGGAGTTGGAGGTTTATTTTTGTGGGGAAGGAAGGTAAATACTTGAGCTTTTGTTGCTCAACACATAAAAATGTCTAGCACATAGCCTCCACCTCTTCAGAAATTCAAAACTAATTACATCTTAATTTGCATATCAAAGCAAATTACAACCTAATGAAACATTTGCCTGCCAAACATTTCTTTATCTTAATGAACAGAAAAAGAATACCTATTATAGCCTGATTAAAATGTCTTTGTACTTGTCCAACAGGTTACACTCTGTATATATAAAAATATTGTTTCACCATCTTACTGGCAATGGGAACAAAACAGATTCTAATTTACAGCATAAATTTCATTGTTTGTATCCATAGATATAATAACTGATGGGGGAGAATGCTTTGGATTTACACTGGAAGTAGAAGAGAGGGAAAGAGTTTAATTCTGAACAGATATTAATTATGCTATTTGGAGTCTTATAATGCTTAGAATTTGAGAAATTGGTGCTCTTAATTCATATATTACTGCAATCATATACTGTGATTATTTTTTCCCCCAACAATATTTATCTTGTGAAACTGGAGAAAACTCTGGCATAAAATGAACTAACACTAAAAGTATTTCCCTGTAGGGAAAAATTTCTTTAACCTGTGTTACAATGAATTTATGTAATACACAAAGGTTACTATAACTTTGGCATAAATACAGTGCCATAAATCTGTTTTACTGTGAGTACATGTATTGGGTGGAATATGTTTTATTTACTTAATTTGAAAGTCTACACACTGCAGCTGTTTTGGATTATTCTCACTACTCTTTAGTAATTAACCAAAAGCTGAAATAAATTTGCTGAACAGAACTGTTCTTAATACAAATGTTAAATCATTTTTCCCCAAGTGTAATTGTACCTGAATAGATGCAACTGTAACATGAGCCATAAAAGGAGATAAAGCAGCAACATAATGTACAATTTCCTACTGCATAATGGTAACTGAATAACACATGCTCCAGGAAGAAAAGTAATTTAAACTGTATTACAACAAATGTCATATTTTAAAATGGAAACCATCCATCATGTGTTGAGAGAAAGCGTTGGTGAAATACAATAATTCTAAGGAATGTACTTAAAAATCCTTTCAGGAGTCCATTTAAAATAAATTGATGGAGTTAATTCCAGGACATCATAATAAATGGTAAGGGACAGATACACGTATGTCCCCTCCTCACTGTGTGCAAGGCTGATGATTGCAAACTTGGTGGACAGCAACTGTGTGAAATAATCAAAAGTGATTCCTGTTCTGTACAAGGTAAAGCCTTCGTTTTAGGAAATGATTAGTGCATTTATAAATCATTTTGGCAAAAATCCTAATATTAAATTCAGATTTTTATTCCAGTGGGTGTTAGGTTGATGGCAGCGCAGTAAGTTTTAACACTGAAGGCCAAAGCATGGGAAGTGGCAGTGAAAAACGTGTATTTAGGGTTAGTAGTGTTTTTCCAAGCCTAGAAAATGTGCTTAGGATTGATTACATTACATGCTCATGCCAATGGAAAATGGTGACTTCTTATAGAATTTCCCTAAAACAAGTAAAAACTGCAATGCCAATTCAGTTGCTGTGATCAAGTCTTCTCTTGTGGGATGGGAAGGCACAAGACTTTGTCCAGCTAATAAAATGAGATCTGGAGCTCACTCTGGAGGAGAAAGACATTAATGGAGGAGGGAAGAAGTAGTTGGTAGGATTTCAAGCCTATTCTGTGACTACAGAAATTGCCTTTAACCCCCCATTTTCTTACTGCTGAGAGGAGATTTATGTACCCACTCACTGAATAACTCAGCAGTTATCTTTAAGTCTGTTCCCTCCCGTTCTTCCAGATTTAAGACCACCTCTTGCCTAGAGCCAGTCATCTTGGGATGGTTTACCCAGTGAGATCTTTGCTGTTGTAGCATAATTGTGTTTAAAGATTACAACAACAGACTCAGCCAGCTTGGAGGGAGGAAGGTAAAGAAGTAGGAATCAACTAGCTTGAGATACTGTCTAACTTTCCTCACCTGAGTTCAAGGTGCTTCTACATTCAGCTACAAATTTATTACAGATTTTTGGGTTCTGGTTTTTTCCAGAGTTCCACAGTTACTCTTGCTCTTACCCACTGAAGAGGGTCCCTTCTTGATGATGTACTATCCTGCTCCTCTTGCAGGTGAACTTCCCGAGGGCTGGGTTTAGAATGCTTGGGCGAGGTGGAAATTTTAGAGCCTCCTCCAAATGGATTGAACTCCGTGGGTAACTCCATTATTGCATCATTAACTCCATGTAGTGTCAATGTGTGGAGGGAACCTTTCCTTGAACATCCACCAGCACTGGTAGTTGGGGTGCCAGGAGAAGCTTGGCCTGATGTGAGGTGTTTTGGAGATCTGCAGCGTGCACTGGGGGAATGTCTCCCTGTAGGGACATTAAAACACAAGGAAATAAAGGATCTTCCCTTATCCAAATGTTATTTCTCTACAGAAGGGCCCTTTTGTTTCCTACTGCAATTCTTTGGAAGAGTGGAAAGTGTGCAGAGAGCTCTGCCCCTTATGGGAGGGGCATCCTGGAGCTTACAGGAGTTTCGTGTTGTCTCTTTGTCTATAGATTTGCTTGAATATAAAAATGTGGTAAATTCTATATGTTGGGAGTCTCACACCCTCTGTAGTTTGCTGTAATATGGCAAGTGCTGTTTCCAGCAAGCTTTCTTTGTTTTATTGAGTCCTTGCTTCCTTACTTCTTGTCTGGATGGATATCTAGAACATACCCTGTAGTTTGGAATTAAGTGTATTTAAAAAGAAAGTCTACCCTCAATCTCTCAGTTGGCTCCTATCAACATTTTGCCTTTCACTTTGGTGGCTTTGAGTTCTGCTCTTTTTCTGGAAGCTGTTTTCTATTTTGTTACACTGCTTGAGGTGTTTTTAATAGGGGCTTCTTAATACTGCTTAAGAAATATTTGATACAGCCAGTTTGAGTCCATTCAAGCACTTGGAACAAAGTGCAGGGGAAAAGGTTCTGGAAAGAGCCAGTATTTGGAAGATGAAGGGGGTGTGTACAAATAGTGTGTGATTCCTGCTCTTGTGGGCTGATTAACACAGAGCACTTATAAAACCAACATGAAGCACTGCAGAACTTTATGCTTTGGTCCAGAGAAGAATGTAAGGAGAAAGTATTTGACCTTTAAACTGTCAGCAGTGTTTTGGCAGACAGAATGCAGGCTGGAGTATTTCAATGGGGTGTGAAATATTTCTTTAATCTCTAAACCCTGAAAAGAGAGAAATTGAACTCTATGCTCTCCTGCACAGTGTGTGGATTAAAAACAAGACTTCTGTAAATGCAGATTTATTTTATTTTCATTCTTGAAAGGTAGAAGGTGCTGGAAGAGGGTTTTGTCTTTGGGCATTACCTGTGCCACAAGGAATTTAACAAGTTTCCTGAGCTGCAGCTCACTTAATTATTTTTATTCAAAGAGCTGGAGAGTGGAGCTATAGCCTTCAGAGATACACACCCAACCCTATTATGGGCTGAAATTTGCTGTATCCTTCCTGGGGTTTAGCTTTACCAAACAGCAGAGATTATTTGTTGAGGTGGTTGTTAGCAACACCAATGAAATGCATCAACGTGCCATGACTCAGTAGGAAAAAACTTGTGTTTAAAACAAGGCTGAACAAAACTTGAGAAATGCAAGGGATAGGAAGAAACCACAGTTTGGATGAGATGATTGCAAGAGTGTGGAATCTTATTTTTCCTGTGTGAAGTTTTGAAGAAGAAACAGTTTTTGAT